TGGCCCATGCTGAAATTGAAAGCGAAACTTGCTGTTTGCTCCACTGGGCAAATTGATAAGAGGCAGATCAGATTTTTTTTTCTTGTGCTAATCAGGCTGTTGGCTCTTTTGCTGCAAGGAGGCAAGTCAATAACTATAAATGCCTACAGAATGTTCAAATGATTAGACTTATTTTTTAAAGACTGCTTTATTATTGTTCTAGACAGCTTAACAAAACGAAGAAGCTTTTTAAAATAAATGTTTGATCTAAAGACGTCCAATGCTATTGTATCTTCTTTTAAATAGCAGAGAATAGTATACTTTCAGAAAGCCACATCAATTTTAACAGCTTCTATACAAGTATAGTCTGAAATGTATCACTACAAATAGGGTATATTGTCTGTACTGTTTGCTGTTTGTTGCAAGGAGGGAAATTGCTAGGAGCCAGAGGTAGATTTTTCCCCTTGTTTTCCTCCCCAAAATCTAAGTGCATCTTATACTTTGGAGCATCTTATACTTGGAAAAATAAGGTACTCATCTAACCCATATTGCTTATCCAACTTTTTTTTTCATCACTGAGGAATTCCTCATTGAATGTTCTCCTTTTGCTTCTCAACTGATGCTTTGTTTCCCTTTGATATTCTTTGATGATGGAAATACTAACCATTGTTCTGATGACACAGGGTGAACCTGGACGCCCAGGCCTGAATGGGATGAAGGGAGACTCAGGTGTTCCTGGAGTACCAGGATTTCCAGGTATTCAGAACAATATTTGCCTTAGGCTGGTTATTTGAGATCAACCTTGGAAGATGTTCTCCATGTTTTTTTCTATTCTTTAGAGCTCAGCTGTTTTGCCCTAGGTCACCAAATCCAAACCCATAAGTTTGAGAATAACCAGGATGAATACTTCCAACTTTCCACCCACAAATCTCAGAGAAAAAGAGTGGGAGAGTTTTTAAAATATCAGCAATTTCATTTTTAAAAATTGCATGTGTGACCTATTGTAACTGAGAAGATATTAGAAGATTCCTCTTGCTTGAGGTCTATGCCTTCATGAAGGTCGAAATGATAGGCCATTTCCTTCTGTCTTGCCATTTTTCCTTAACACTTTGGCCTTTTTACTGAGATCTCTCACCAAATGTAGTTGGCACAATTTTGGTTAACTCAATGGGCCCCAATAAAAGTGGTTAGTTAAGGAACCCATAAAAACCATAAATTAGGCATCCCTTGGTGAGATAAGTGACATTTGAGAAATTAATGCATGCTTGATATCTCCCCTGTCAGAGGTAGACGAAAAAAGCATTAATGAGGAATAGAATAGAACAGAACAGAGCAGAACAGAATAAATAATAGGGAAGAGAGAATAGAGTAGAGTAGAATAGAATAGAATAATAGGGAAGAGAGAATAGAGTAGAATAGAATAGAATAGAATAATAGGGAAGCGAGAATAGAATAGAATAAAATAGAATAGAATGGAATATGGAACAGAACAGAATTCTTCATTGGTCAATGTGATCAAACACACAAGGAATTTGTCTCTGGTGCAGAAGCTCACAATGTACATATAAATAGCAAGTATTGAGTAAAATCATAGGCTCTTCATGTCTACCCTGTATTAACTTGTGTGGGTTTTGGCTTTCAGGTTTGAAGGGACCTACTGGACCTTTGGGACCTTCTGGCCCTGGAGGAGACCCTGGACCCTTTGGCTCCCCAGGTAGGAATTCTGAGACTTAAGGTTTACCAAAGTTGGCTTCCATTGTTGCTTTCTAAGATATATTCCCATTGTTTCCTTTAAAAAAAACCCAACCCAAGATAGAATAAAATGGTTTCACAGCATAGAAAAATGGCCCACATGCTACATCTGAATTGAGTGGATTCAACAAAGATTTCATAAAATGGCCAGTCAAGCCAAGACAGTTGCCTTGTGGATCTGGGGAATTTGAGTGAGTCAAACATCTGATTTTAAGAGACTGCAGGAAGAGAACCATATTACTTTAGATAGCCAAAAAAAAACCCAACCCAAAGGTCTGGAAGCATCTTTAAGTCTATCCACTTTTTATTTGAAGGCATCGGTTTTGTGAGCTACAGATTATTTCTTCATCAGAGGCAATCAGTGGTTTGACTAATGTGAGATTTAAATTTCAGGGATATAAAACAGGGATATGAGTCTTCTCATAACCACAAGTTGTGCGTCGATGATGTAGTTCAGAGGTTCTCAATCTTTTCTTCACCACAAACCCCCTTTAATACCTTTTGTGGCCATGGACAATGGCCACGGACTCCCAAGATTTAAATCATAATATTTATTCAAGTCGCCTGTGACATCGTGCCCCCCCAGGGGTCCATGGACCACTGGTTGAAAACCACTGATGCAGGACATTTAGTCCAACCTGTTCTTTTCATGTAAAGGGAACTAATACGTGATTAGCAAATAACATGCGGGGTCTTATTGGAGGCCATTATTCCAGAGAAGAGATGTCGGTTCCACCACAAATGCGCGCACAACAAAAGCGTGCCTGACTAAACCGCGGTGTCTAAAGCGCGGTGACAAAACCGCGCGACGAATGAGCGACGAATTAGGCCTAAAGCGCGCCGACAAAAGCGCGCCGACAAAAGCGCACTGTAACGTAACCCTAACCCTAACCCTAAACCTAACCCTAACCCTAAACCTAACCCTAA